ATAAATAGAAGAAACTATCATTGACTAAAAATGAATACCCTAAAATGGTATGCACTGTTTCTAAAGTTTCTAAAGTTAAATTATTGGTAATAAAAGAAAATCTGCCAATGCAGAAATCAATTGCAAAGTTTTTAAATACATTTATAGTAACAATAGATAAAATAATAAACCAAGATTTTCAACTTAAAAAAGCTAAGAAACATTATGTTCACCAGCTTTAGCGGAGGCACGTGGCTCATTGTAGAACAATTTATAGAACACTGTATGAAAACTATTTAGGAGGAGATGAATAGAAATAACATTGTGACCCTTGATGAAGCATGGGTTTACCTAAATGACAGCAATTAAAAAAAGGTCTATTTACTACGAAAAATGAAGAGAAAAGATTGCACAAACCTGGTTTTATCAATGTATCAATGCAAAGAAAGTTTCATAAGGGGTTTATCACGAGTGAATTAAGATGGGGGGAATTAAGATGAGTGGGAAAAACATGTTAAAAACAACTCAACATTTTGTTTTAATCCGATATTTACAGAAGAAATTCCATTCCTTTATCCCAGTGGCTTTCAAAGAATGAAACTTTGCGAAGACGACAAGTCATACTTTGAAAAGCACTACAGCATTTCTTGAAAAAATAAAAGACTGATACAGGTACTGCAAGTTACCTTTTCAATATATTCCTGCAAAGTCCCTTGATGTTTCACCTATGGATGCTGTGCCTTTGGTCTCTTGAAAAGAGTCTTTCTAAGTGCAAACCCATGGTGACTGATGAGCTCTGAACTATAGTGGAAGAGGAATGGAAATCAGTATTCCTGGAATTTTTTTTTTTTTTTTAAATCTCTTCTGTCATGGAAATCATGATGCAGAAAAAAGGCTTTCAGATCAAACATTTTAAAAACTACTCTTTGTATTTTAAACATTAATTAAGCGACCAAAATCCATTCTAAAAATATGAAAATACCCTCTGTAGGTACTAGATTGTTAAAGAATTATCATCAGTGTCAGGCTTTAAAGCTGCTAAAGATCAACTAAATTTAATACTTGGTGGCAATGCAAGTGGTGATTGCAAACTCAAATCACTGCTTGTTTATAGGTTAGAAAATCCAAAAGCACTAAGTGTTAAAAAATATAATTCCGTCATAAAGTCAGTCATAAATATTATTCCAATCATAAAGAAATCTAATAAAAAAAAGGCTTGGATCATTGTCACATTTTTCAAAGACTGGTTTTTAATCATTTCATTCCAGAAGTAACACAATACTGTGAGAACAAAAAAAATTCCTTTTCACATTCTTTTAAATTTGAATAATGCACCTGGGCACCCTCCTTCTCAATAAAATCATCATCTAAATGTTAGGGAGCCCACCAGCGAACAAGTGGTAAAGCCGCTGAACACTGGTAGTTCGGTCCGAGGTTTGAATCCCCCGAACAGGCTGGCTGCATGGATGTTTTTGTGGTTTTCCCCATATGTAACGTGCATACGAGCCAGTTTCCCTTAGAAAGTCCTCCACAAAGGCATCCCTCCTCTTCGGCAGATAGCCCTAGTGTGCTTTGCCATAATTAAATACACCACCAACACCACTACATGTTAGGATTTTATGTTTATCTCCTCCCCCTTCAATACAATCTCGCATAGTCAGCTCATGGATTAAGGTGTTGCTGCAACAATCAAAGCTTATTATTGGCATCAAACATTTGAATCTCTATTACTTACCCGAAATAATGAAGTCATGGATACTGACAGCAACTCAACTCTTAAACATTTTTGGAAACTTTTAATGTTTTAGATGCAATGAATATAATAATGCATGTTTCAAGAAAAATTTCAGAAAAAACAATCAGTAGTGTTTGGTGAAAATTTTGTCCTAACTTAAGTGCTAATTTTGAAGTATATAAGGCACAAGAAATAATTCAACACAAAACTAAGAAGATTATGCAAACTGCTGAAAAGTTAAACATCAGAACCTATACTTGTGACACAACTGATCTTTTTACAACACATAATAGTGATCTTTCAAATGAAGAGCTGCGTGAAATAAAAAGCAAAAGAAGAAAGAAGCAGAAATCTCCAATGCCAGATTTACACCCTTTGACAAACAAGGCTGTATATATATAGTCTAGAATATATTTTATGACATGTATTATTTATTGTGTGTATCTTTATGTCCAAGAAACTAAGGCAATATATTAAAAATATATAAATCTAAATATAAAGTACCAGGTGCATTTTGGGATTAAAATCAAGGAAATAACTTTTTCTTAAAGTAGTTTTGAGAAATCTAAGGTTTCTTAGATAAACTCTGAGCTGGTTAGAGGGTTAAAGAAACTTTTGAAGAGATTGAAAAAGGAATACAAACTTTTTTTATTCTTATGATATAAAGAGCGAATGGAACAGAAAAGTTACTGCACATCTTAAAAATTTATATGTTATGATCAAATTTATAAAGATAAGATAAAGCGATCTCACATGCAAAGAATACTTGAAGCTTTTTTAAAGAAGAAAACTTCTCCCTCTACTAAAAATAAAATGGAAAAAAAAAATAATAATTTTGACATTTATAATATTCTTTTTATTTTGAGAGGGGGGAACTATTTTTGACTTATAGAAAAGCTGAACTGCTTGTTTTTTAATACATGTTTTTGCCTATTTCTTTATCTTTTTTACCAAAACTGAAAATATTCTTATGTTCAAAACTAGTGTCCTCATTATTATGTCATTTCTATGACAAAATAATCTTCAGTTTACAAGTTCTCAATTTATGAGTGATAATTTTGTCAGAATTAACTCGTAAAGTCGAAACTACCTAACTCTTCTTTTAGTGTATTTCATCCCACTAAACACTACTTAGAAACCAACAGATAACATTTGGGTATTTACTGGAACTTTATTTACTTAAATTTAATATACTTTATCACTATGCAATCACCTTAGTCTCTTGCCGTTGTGTGGTTAAAATGCAAATATGAGCAATTTATATACAGTACTGGTGTCTAATTTTGATATTTCACTTCAGTTTCATAAGATTTAAAAAATAAAACTAAGCCTAGTATCATCAACAGTGTATTTTGCACAATGGTTAGGATTAAAAAAAAAAAAAAAAAAATCTAGTATCCATTCTGACATTAAGAATGTAACAACACTATCAAAAATGAATAAATTTAAAATATATTTTATATATTTTTCTCATGTATTAACAGTATTATAATTTTTAGTGATTAAAATGTTTCTACTAAAATACATAGATTTAATATTTCTATAAACACTGAAAAGACAAATTAGTATCCATCTTGTTCAATACTCCCCTGCTCTACTTTTCTCACTGATAACAGCAACAATATGCATGGGAAAGAATACAATGAGGTGCTAAAAGTGAGAAAGTGATACTGTCATGCAGCAAGCCTGCAGTTTCCACTGTAAATCTATCACAAAGCATGGTAGTTAGTCCAGAAGATGAACATACCATTGTTGGTCATTCCACTGATGCTCAAAAGGATTCATAACTAGGAGTTATGGAAGCTTTATAACTGCAATTATTCCATCCTCACTGCTATGCTTGCTGAACAATTCCTGTGCAATGTGTGACCCAAGGGTGCTGCATAATCTGTTCAAAAGAGTGCGTCATTCTGTAAGAATAAGTGCATAAAGGAATGTTGATGATCAGCCAGCAGTTCAATGAATCCTAAGCTCTTAAAAATTTCATCCAATGTGACAAGAGGACCCAATAAACACCACATAAAGATGGCCCAAATAGTTACACTACCAACACTGTCCCTGTATGATGCCTGTCTAACACACAAGATGCAGTGTTTCATGTGGTTTATTAATATCTGCCATCTGCCTTCTGGAGCTGGAATCTTGATTCATTGGATTAGATCATACATTTCCAATCTTCCGCTATCTAATGATGGTGCAATTAGTTAAACTGAAGCCATGGCTATCAATATCTTCCCATTAATAGTAACCCAAAACAGCCATTACTTGTTATACTTGAGTCGCAACAGTTGCCAATGAACAGTCTATGTGCAGATGCTAGAGAAAGCACCATTGAAAATCTATCGTTAAATTGTGTTTTTTGCCATCGATGCAAAATGACCAAGTCTTCGATTACCTCAGGCATCAATTCTGGTTTACATCTGTATTTTTCACGATTCACAATTTTTTTTAGGTACTTCTGATACATTTGTGCCACAGTAGTGTAGAACATGCACAGAAGATAGGTGGTTGCTAATGTCGAGCAGCCAGCCAGGCATGTGCTAACAATTTATTCATAATATAATTTGCTTAGATTGCTGTGCTTACCCTTGATAAAAATCTTTGGCATGTCCATTGAAGCTCTGATAATTATATTTTGTGGCACCGACAACAGCCAGTAGCTTACTAGTCAATAGTTAACAATGTGCTTATTAACATGGTTACATTGCAGGTACGTACAGTAATTTGTCTCTTCAGTGTATCCTTTAATACATGGATTGAGTGATGAAAGGTTTAAGAAGTTTGTGCACATCTTGGCAGATATATACAACTTAAACATTTTCCTGCACTTTCAGATTACCTTTGCTTAAGCATAGATTAATTTTAATATGAAATATTGATATGACAATTTCCATGGCTTTGTAAACAAACCTGATAAGATTTATATGTGTTACCATGATGATGCTTATTTTCCAGATATATTATGAAGATAACTTTTTTGGATGTGTTATTGTGAATTGCCTCACTATTCCTTAATTTACCATAGCTAATAATAAAACAGAATGTAGTTAACTAGTTTTCTAACTATAAAAATAAAGTCAAATTTGCAATAAAAAAAATTTACTCAGTTTACTTAATGATTAACATTTTAAAACTTAGAAAATGAAATTATTTGCAGTAGAATTTTAATAATAAAACAATGAAAGGAAAAGTATCACATCCTACACACCATTACATTATAATAAATGATAACATAATGTACATCAAAATGGATATGAAATATATTTTTAAAAAAACGGCAACTTACTTTTGCTCCATAATTGATTAAAATTTCAGCACATTCAACTTGATTTTGGATACAAGCCTCATGTAAAGGCGTCAAGCAATCATAATTTGTTTGATTCGGAGATAATCCACTTTCCAGTAAAAAAATTAGGTTTTGTTTGTGTCCAAGCTCGGCAGCTTTATGCAGTGGATAAGGTCCATACGCTTGCAACACTATTGAAAAATTAAATCTGAATATTAACAAAACTCAAATGCATCTTAATTTTAAAAAACTCTAAAGCACTGAAGAAAAAGGATTAAAATGATATAATATCAATTAAATAATATTTTAGATAAGCATTAAATATCTGTTGTTAATAAATTATTAAATATCTACTGTTGTTCAATTCCATACATAACTGCAGTGCTTCCCAAATTTTTTGACTTAAGCAGCCTTTTTTTGGAACAATTTCTGTTGCAGAACTCCTTAGGCCTATCTTATAAAAACAGTGGTTCCCAACACTTTTTACTCATGAAATTCTTTTTAAGAACAATTTCTATACTGGAGCTCCTTTAGGCCTATCCTGTAAAGCAGGGTTTCTTAAACTTTTATCAGTTGTGACTCCCTTTTTATCACTGAGATTTTTTTCACAAAACCCAGGACCCCATAATATTTTTTAAAATTTTGTGGAACCCCATAAGTATTGCGCAAATCCGACACATATGTGAGTGAAACTGGCAATTTTTTCACTTGTACTGTACAGTCAAAAGTCTTTAATCCAGAATGATCTATAATCAGGACCTCAAAGCTACAGACTTTTTGCGCATGCGCTTATGACATTTACGCATGCACATTTAATGTATAACGGACGGTATAAGCTAAGCTAAAATTATCTAATTATCTATTTCAGTTAATGTTGCAGATTGCGTTGTTCCTTAATCTTCGAATTGGATTCGGCTTATTATTTTTTGCAGACTGTTAGAGGAATTTTATAAAAGTAAGCTTGAACTTTCGATTATGCCGAAAAAAATTTCCAATTCTGGAGCTGCCAAAGGATCTACAAAGCGAAAGCATGTTTCAATATCCATCAAACAAAAAGCGGAATTGCTGCAAAAAAAAAAAAAAAAAAAATGGATAAAGGCATATCCTTTGCTTCTCTAACCGTTCTGAAATCTGTTTATCAATTTCACGCTGCTGTGCGGGGGGGGGGACGTCGCGGCGCTATGAACTGGACGTTGATCTGTCAGCACTATCCTTATCTTCAGGGCAGATGGTTTTATTTTATTCGGCTTCTAATTCCTTACTAAATGTAGTATTTCATCTTGATGTACTCCGTCTTTGATATGATTTAAATCAAATTCCTCATCATTATAAATATCACGAATACACATCAAAGAGTTTTCTGGTTGCAATTTTCTAATTTTGACTATGCGTAATGTATGCTTTACGCATGTGCGCATTGAAAGAAATGTTTAATAAAGTAAAAACAAATAAATATTAAGGTTTTTTTTTTTTTTTTTTTTTTTAATTTTGATACCTTTTAGATCATAATTGCTCTTTATTTCCTAAATTACGGTTTCATATTTTTAATTTTATAATTTCTGCATGGCATCTTACCAGATTTAAATTGATGATCTATAATCCGGAAAAACCGATAATCCGGAATCGCCGAAGTCCCGATGAGTCCGGATTAAAGACTTTTGACTGTACTATTGCAGTTTTAGGTCATTAAACTTTAATTTCTAATTTTAAGACATAGAACAATGTGAAAATTTTAAATGAGTAACAGACGAAATGACAGTGTCACGTGCAAGGCAAGGAAAATGAATGTTTATATTATAAAAAGAATGCATCCAAATGTTTTCGTTTTTTTCTTTGTCTGTATTGTCTTATCTTTATCCATTTTCAAATACATTGTGTAAAAATATTTGGTAATTGTAAAATTATTATAAATAACTTAAAGAAATATCAAAACTGCTAAAATTTTTGGCGAACCCCTGCTGCAGGTCCCACGACCCCCTTAGGAATCGCATCCCACAGTTTAAGAAACCCTGCTGTAAAATAAAGAGATATCTAACTAATTGCATAATACCCATCCAGTGAAATTACATTTAAAAACTGCTTAAAATTTAACTTGATATCTCAGTTAATCAACTACCACAAATACACAATATGTTTAAAATTTGGTTATACACAGAAGTTCATTCAAATTTGAATAAATCCCACCATTTGCAAAACAGCAAATTTCACATTATTGATTAAGAGCAATAATAAAATTATCCATAGAATAAACTCAATTTTTCCAGTTTCATTACCTGATACTCAAAACTATTATTACTCATTATAATTTGACACCTGTGATGCACTTTTGCAGATTTTCCTTATTTTAGGTTAAGCTACTGGTAATGGTAAGCAAATGTAATAATTCTCCATTTAAGCAGCTTATGTATTTTATTTGACACCTATATAAGCACAGAGTCCCGCATCACAAAATAATTATAATAGCTAGCATAATTAATTATGCAACTTGCAGCAATATTAATTTCGTTTCACACAAGATTTTGAATTCATCTTACAAATGCAGCCTAAACTCCAGAAGACTTTGGATGTCAAATGCAATTTTTAGTTCAATGTAAGGTTTAAAATATATGAGGACTTCGCATTCAACTCAGTTTAGCCTAGGTGATTTTTTTGTTCATGCTCAGGAATTCAGATCCCAAGTAATCAAACATATTCTCTTATACTGTCAGAAAATAATGTTCAAGCAAATCTTTCAAACCTTAGCTTGAATGTTTCTCTGTATTTTTTTCTTTAATCCTGAAGTTATTTTTATTGAATTTTAACAACTGATAGGCACTGAGTGCACATCAATAAGCTAAATTTCGGTACTATTCGGTTTTGAAGGCCGTAAAAAATCGCTAAACTATTGTTGATGCCAGTTCAGCCAAAAATAATTGTGGCAACCCTAATGCGAGAAAGGAAGTATCATAGTAAATAACTATTTAAGATTGATATTTTAATTTAGATGAAAGGTTAATTTCATATAATACTTTTTTATTATTATAATTTATATAAAAAAGGGGGTAGGGTAGACTTTAAGGTACCCCTTGTATTATGGCGAAGTTGTTCTTTGATTTATCACCAAGTTGTTATTTCATTTATGGTAGCCTGAGTAGTTGAATGTTATGGAAACCCTATTGTAACGTAATCGGGTGCATGATTCTGCAAAATTTCGAATCATGGAATGTTTTGTAAGCGTTTTTGTGGTGTGTGTTGGTTTGATTCTTTAGACTGTAGAATGGCTGAATGTAGTAAGATTAACTTGAATTTTCTGTACAATTTGGAGCGAAAAGGGAAAAGAGCTTTAATTGACTGGTGTGTAAATGAAGGTTTACTTAGTAGTCGTTATAATTGTCCTATATGTAAGAAGGATATGCGTCTAGTCAAACGTAAAATCCGTTTGGATGGATTTGAATGGGCTTCTAGGAAGAAAGGTTTAGATGGTCACTATGTGAAGCATTCAATCAGAAAGAGTACCTGGTTTGAAAAAAAAGTCATTTGAGAATAATTGATATTTTGATTTTTACGTGGCTCTGGGTGTATGAAGCGAACTCGAAAATCATGGTAAGTGAATATTTGCTTTCAGTAGTGCTTAAATGTAAAACATATTTTTCTTTTTTATGTTATTTTATTGTTTGGTTTAAAATTCCTTTTATTGAGATTATGTATTTTTTGTTTGCCTACATTTTAGAATTTGGTGCTCCTTTGACTTTTTAAGTGAAAATATATCTATGTGTACATGGACAAAGTAAAGGGAGTGCGTAATGCAAGTTTGTACAATTCTGGGATTTTTTTTTTAAGTGAAAATAGGTCGACGTGTACATTGATAAAGTTAAAAGAGCACACAATGACATTTCTGTGCAATTCGGGGATTTTTTTTAAGTGAAAATAAGTCGATGTGTACATGGATACCGAGTTTGTGCAATTGTTTGTCTTGTTTGGCTTTGTGTAGCGGCGATGTTTGGCACAAAAATCGCCGCTTTGCAAGCCAAAATAACGAGTCAAAGAATTGCACAAAATCGGTATCCATGTACCACCAAAAATTGCTAAGGGGTACCCTAAACTATAATTTTACCAAAAAAGGCTATACATGACTGAATGGAAGCATAAGAGTAAATAACTATTTTAGATCATTATTATAAGTTATATAAAAATTGCTAAACATAACTGCATGGATGCCTGCATCACTATTTCGCTACCGAGTTATCGCTAAAGCATAGTTTCGTCTCGTTGGTTGTTCAAACATAATTTTCTATAATAAATGATGCCTTTTCTTTGAAAAAATTCTCGGTAAAGTGCAGAATCGCCCACTTATTTGTTTGCTGCTTTTTACAAGGGTAAAAACAATTGAATTTTTGTCAATTTTCTTTTACTTTTTAAGTGAAAATAGGTCGATGTGTACATAGATAAAATCAAGGGTGTGCACAGTGCCATTTTTGGGCAATTCTGGGATTTTTTTAAAAAAGAAAATAGGTCGATATGTACATGGATGCCGAGTATGTGCAATTCTTAAAAACGCGTCAAGCAGTGGGTGATTCTGCACTTTACCCACAATTCTATTGCACACTTTTCGTCATGGGCAATTCCTAAATTGTTAAATCCATAGGATATCAAAAAAGAATTTACAATCAAAAAAGGATTTAAAAATTAAACTAGTATTTCAATGGCATCTTAAGAAATATAGAACTATATAAACTTACGCAATCTGAAATCGGCGCGTACACTAGATTCGGCGTGCTGTTTAAATGGGTGCGTTTGCTAGATTTGCTGCTTTTGCGCATACATTTTCGATGCAATTTTTTTATGGTCCTCAAAACGGAATGGTACCTAAATTTCTTATGAAAAGCCGACACTGGCATTTGCATAAAAAAATCTGGGACATTTTCCCCTTGTATTAAATATATTTGTTTTGTTCATGTTGCTCTAAATTTTGGCCATCTATACCAGTGTCCACACAGTCTTCATTCTTTAAAACCATCACCAGAAGAACATTATAATCTGTTAAAAATACTACTAAATACATATTTCCAGCAAATGTGAAACAAGTTATCCTCAAGCCAGTACTGTAAAGTTTCTTTACCAAAATTGCAATTGAAGTAATTGGAGATTCAAATGTATGAGTAGACAAAACACTCTATTAATTAATATTTACTAATTATATAACTATGTAACA